GAGAGAGAGAGAGAGAGAGAGAGAGAGAGAGAGAGAGAGAGAGAGAGAGAGAGAGAGAGAGAGAGAGAGAGAGAATAGTAAAGAGAAAATAATAGGGAGGATGGCGATCGCGAGGCCCAAAACAACGGGTGCTTAGGCCGTTGAAGCGAGATTAAGCCAGCAGCCAAAGAGATTGAGACCAAAAAAGAACGGGAGCTTCTTCAAGATCTCGTGACAAAGAAAGTACGTAATTAGCCCTCATTTTTTAATGTAAACATAGCTATCATCTTTGTCCGCTTATACGCCTGCCTATGGTGTTTGCAATGGGCCTCTATCTGCTCTGACGTACAGCCAGTGCATATCAGGCTATTTGCCTGTTCGGCCTATGACACCAGGTCGTGGTCGGACCCTACAAGCCATGTGTTGCTTCTGTCCAGTCCAGTCCAGTCCTGGGAGGTACCACTATCGATACCAGGTCAGATCAGTCCAATTCAATCAGTCCGCCAGGGGTATACCCCAGTTGCAGTCTGTTTCATTCTTTTTCATTTTGCACATTTGGAGTTCGTGCGTGTTGAGTCCTTATCGGAGCTGCGCTATCCCTTCCAGGCCCAGCTCCATCTCCTCCCCCTTCAACCCTTCGTCTTGATCCTGATGGACCGCCATCCTGATGCGTCCGTCACACTGATATCAGAGCGGCAATGTTCCCCGCTCCTACCCACCACACCTCGTCAACGAAGAAAAACGGTAAATCCCCCTATAGGGATTTTGACCGTTTTTCGATTATTTTTGCAGCAAACGGGCGAGAAGAAAGTGCAGCGCAGAGGTTGTGATAGGTGGTACGAAAAAAAAGAGTGTTGTCACGATGCGTGCATGCAAGCGTCAAGGCCAAGGACATTGCACACACATATACACACGCCACGTGCCCGCGCTGCCCCGCCGACCCGCTCCCCCCCCCGCTCTCGGATTACACATATCATGATCCGGAATGCACGATGGTGCCAGGGTTTGAACTCGGGCAACTGTTGTCCATGCGCATGCGTAGCCAGTGCTGTAACACTGACCAAACTGTGTCCATGGCTCTATAGTGCAGAACGTTCGTGTTGAACAATTCCACACGAGCCATTTACACCCCCCCCCCCCCCCGCCCCCGATCGACGAGTAGTGGGCGGGCTGCTATTTGCTCCCCCCCCTCCCCCCCCTCGGAGGCATCGTGGTTATTGCTGCCTGCGCACGTGGCCATCTGCAGTGCCATGTGGCAGCTTGCTAAGGAGCCTGAAGACCCCCCTGGCCAGGGGGTTGCACTAAAGGCCAATATGGGTGGATGATCAAGATCTCAATACACCCAGATGATGATGATGATGATGACGATGATGATGATGATAATGATGATGCTGGTTATTATTTTTTGTACTGCTGCACCAACAATTTCGCAGCAGTGAAGACCCTCCTGGCTAGGGGGCTGCGCGCTAGTGCAATCAAGGTGGCTAATCAAGATCTCAGCCAACCCTTGATTATTTCATTATTGTTATTTTTTTTTTCCTGCTGCAACAACAGGCTGCCAGCATGTTGAAGGTCAAAATCCAGTGGATCTTAGTGACCTTGTTGCTCTTGGCCAACCAGGAGCCTGGTACCATTTCTCTCCACTAACCTGCTCTCTCCCTTCTTACATCTCATCACCCCTTTTACCTCTACCACTACTCCCTCCCCTCTTACATCTCTTTTCACTCATCTTTCAGTATTTTTTTCTCCCCTCCCCTTCCCATGCACCATCTTCGACTAATCTTTTCTCCTCCTCCCCACTTTTCTCATCACTTTCTCTCTCATTCTCTCACCCTGCTCTCCCCTTTCCCTCCCCTAACCCTCCACCTCCCACCCTAAT